GGCCTAGCTGCTCTGCGGCATGTGGGATCTTCCTGGACCGGGGCATGAACCCGCGTCCCCTGCATCGGCAGGCGGACTCTCAACCACTGCACCACCAGGGAAGCCCAATGATTTTTAATAAATATACTGAGTTCTTAAATTATCACCACAGCCAATTTTAGAACGTGTTATCACTTCTGAAGATTCTCTTTAGCCTGTTTGCTGTTAACCCTTATTCTCACTCCTGACCCCAGGCAACCACTGATTTGTGTTTCGTTTCTGTAGATTTGCCTTTATCTTACGTATAAATGGAAACGTACAGTATGTAGTCTTTTGCGTCTGGCTCCTTTCACTTAGCATAGTGTTTTGGAGAGTCATCCATATTGTACCATGTGTCAGTATTTTGTTCCTTTTTATTACTGAATAGTATTTTAATGTGTGGTTATACCATATTTTGTTTATCTGTTGACCAGTTGATGGGCATTTGGATTGTTTCCAGTTTTTTGCCTGTTGCAAATAATGAAGCTTGAAAGTTTGAGTGTGAGTCTTTATGTGGACATATGGTTTCATTCTCTCGGGTAGATGCCTAGGAATAGAATTGCTGGGTCATCTGTTTAACTTTTGAAGAAGCTGCCAAACTGTTTTTGAAAGTGGGCTTACATTTTATATTCCTAACAGCGATGTGTGAGAGTTAGTTTTTTCACACCTTTGTCAACACTTGTTATTGTCTGTCTGTTTTATTTTAGCCATTGTACTGGGTGTGAAGTGTTTAAGTCATTGTGATTTTAATTTGCATTTTTCCTAAAGATGTAAGGTGTTAAGCATTTTTTCATATGATATTCATTCATATATCCTTTTGGGTGAAATAGCTATTCAAATCTTTTGCCAGTTGTCTTACTATAATTGAGTTATAAGAGTTTTTTATACATTCTGGATGTAAGTCCTTTCTTAGATACATGATTTACAAATATTTTCTCCCAGTTTGTGGCTTTTTTCTTTTCTTCATTTTTACTGGAGTCTTTTGAAGCACAAAAGTTTTAATTTTGATGGAGCTTAATTTCCCAATTTTTCTTTTATGGATCATGCTTTTGTTGTTTAAGAACTCTCCCTCATCCAAGATCTTGAGGATTTTCTCCTTTGTTTTCTTCTAGATGTTTTATAAATTTTGCTATTATATGTAGATTTGTAATCTATTTTGAGTTAATTTTTGTGTATGGTGTGAAATAAGGGTCTAAATTCACCTGTTATATATGGGTTGTCTTAGCACCGTTTGTTGAAAAGACTGTCATTTCTCCATTGATTGTAATTGTAAATATTTAATTCTGGACTTTCAGTTCTGTTTCGTTATCTGTATGTCTGTCCTTTGGCTAGTACCACCCTGTCTTGATTACTGTGCATTGTGGTAATTTATGAAAACAGGTAGTGTAAGGTCTTAAATTTTGTTCTTACTTTTGAAAATTGTGGCTATTGTGGGTTATATATAAAAATTTTAAAATCGACTTGTCATTATCTGCGAAAAAAGTTTTGGAATTTTGATGGGGAATGCATTGAATCTGTAGATCAGTTTGGGATGAATTACCATCTTACAATATTGAGTCTCCTAATACATGAACATGAAATTTTAAAAAAATTTATTGATCTTTAATTTTTCGAAGTGATGTTTTAAACTTTTCAGTGTATAAATCTTTTACTTAAAAATTTTTAAAAAATGTTATTGTGGTAAGAAAACTTAACATGAGATCTACCCTCTTAACTTTTTAAGAATACAGTACAGTGTTGCTAACTATAAAGAGTGTTGTATAGCAGATTTCTATACATGGTAGAAGTTTCCTTTTTAATTCTGTTTTGTTCAGAGTTTTTATCATGAATGGGTATTGGATTTTATCAGATGCTTTTTCTGCATCTCTTAGCAAGACCAGCTGTTGCGGTTTGCTCACGACTGTCCTGGTTTTAGTGCTGGAAGACCTGCATCTTGGGAAACGCTTCAGTCCCAGACAAACCAGAATGGTTGGTCACCTTAATGTCTGAGATGATCATGTGGTTTCTGTCCTTTATTCCACTAATATAGTGTATAATATTAATTGATTTTTAGCAACTAAACCAGCCTTATATTCCTGGGATAAATCCCACTTGGTCATGGTATATAATTCTTA